GGCTCATGTGAGTGCCTGGGTGGAGCGCGTGGCTAAGCTCAGCCTGGTTGGAAGACGGGTTTGTCAGTGAAAGTGGTTTGTGGCCAGCTGCTAAGCTAGCAACTGGCAGTTCCAGTATGCCCGTGGAGCTGCAGATGTGCCTGGCAATTGGCTTCTGTAAAGACTATAGCCACAGAAACCCTGCAGAGCCGCCCACCCTGTAAAGCAGGGGGTCGCCAAGAGTCAGACACATCTTGGGGGGTGGGGGTGGGCTTGACCTTTGGCACCTTGGATCTGGGAGTCATTCCATGTGCTCCCCACGGGGGTCTCCATGCTCAGTGCTCAGGATGGCCATGTGGCTGCCCTCCAGTCCTCTCCAGCTGGCAGAAGCCTCTAGATCAGCGGTTCTCAACCTGTGGGTTGTGACCCCTTTAGGGGTCAAATGACCCTTTCACAGGGGTTGCCTAACACCATTGGAAAATACATAAATATTGCACAATATATAATTACATATTGCTTTGTGATTAATCACTATGCTTTAATTATGCTCAGTTTGTAACAATGAAAATACACCCTGCATATCAAACATTTACATGACAATTCATAACAATAGCAAAATTGCAGTTATGAAGTAGCAACAAAAATAGTTTGATGGTTGGGGGATCACCACCACACGAGGAAATGTATGAAAGGGGTGCAGAATTAGGAAGGTGGAGACCGCTCTAGGTCTTTGTTGGCAGAACCTGGTAGCCGCTGCCCTGAGCTCCCTGTTTGTCCACAGTCCACTCCCTTGGCCCCACTCAGATCTTGGGCCCCTGGACCCCGGACATCTGGACAGCTTTCTCTAGTTGTGGCTCTAGGCACAGCCCTCCAGCCATGTGAGCACCCACCTACTCAGTTCACTAAACTTGTAAGTAGCAGCATGGATGTGCCCATTATATAATCTCTCCTGTCAACTTGTGAAGTGGTGGAGTCTAGTCTGTCAATCAGGTTCCAGCTTGATGACCTTATTTGCAGGAGATAAGTAGCTCACTGGAGGCCAGATACACACTCACTCCCTGGGAGACATTCTTGCTGACCAGCCACATTGAGACCCCTGATGGAACCAGAGCCCTGGAGCTGGCGAAGCCATGTGGAGACCCCTGCAATCCCTGAGATGCTTCCACTGCTACTGGTTCCACAGGTTTTCCACCCACTGGCCTGTGATCTCCCTGCATTCGACATCATTGCATATGTTGCATGAGTCTGAAGAGGAAATTATAGACTGGTATCAGACATATGGGCTAGTATCGGATTTATGGACTTGAATTGGACTGGGCTGGGCTGTTTTCTTAATATACAATTACGTTTGCATATAAAGTTCTCTATTGCACACATGAGTGTCTCTGGATTTGTTTCTCTAGTCTATCCAGACTAACAGTTGGCCAGATTTCCTGTGACCACACGGTACAGACACACTTCACAGGTGACAGATACACCCACCGTCTTTCCCAATACATGTAGCCCTGTTTGTCCAGGGCATTGTCATCTTCCCAAAGCCATCCCCTTCCCCGGCCACCGAAAGACCCATTGCCCCTGATCCCCACTGATGGCGGTGGCCCCCTGCGTTAGAGTGGGCCTGCTCCACATGGGCTTCTTGTTTGCT